AGGAGTTTAGTGAGGGTAACATATGGAGTTATCTGTCCCTTCTCTTCTCTGCTGATAGCTGCATTGGGGATACTTTTTTTTAACCACATAAACATAACAATAACGCTGGAGAGATGCCTCCGCAGTTAAGAGCACTGGCTGCTCTTCTAGAGGTCCTCAGTTCAATTCCCAGCAACCACATGGTGGCTGACAACCATCTATCAGGAGATCTGGTGCCCTCTTCCGGCCTGCAGGCCTATGTGCAGACAGAGCACTCATACCCAAAAAATAAATAAATAAATAAATAAATAAATAAATAAAATAATATAACGATGCATTTCTAATCCACTTAGGTAGGAACACAGATTATAAACAATCAGGACAGCTGGGCAGTGGTGGTCCAGGTCTTTAACGCCAGCCTCAGAAGGCAGAAGCAGGCAGATTTCTTGAGTTTCTGATGACAAAGCCAAGTCCCAGTCTAGCCAGGGCTATACAGAGAGACTTGTCTCAAAGCTCAAACCAAATAAAATAGCAATCAGGAAAGATTTGATTCGTCCCATCCCTGTGCTCTCTTTAGGAAGTTAGCACAGGGCACTCTGTAAACTCAAATGTTCAATAATGTGCCCTTCAGGAAGGGACTCCTCTGCTATTTGTGAGACGTCTTGCTGGGACTGTACGGTTTGTTTTCAAAATTTCTACTACACTAACTATTATTTGGGGCCCTACTTAAAAAAAAAAAAAACTCTGCAGGGCTTACATGTTGCTTTTTAAGAATGTTCTAATTGTGATAAAGCATGCACACCACACAATCTACCATTCTGAACATGTGTAGGTGTACATGAAGCACATTCCCACTGCATGAGGTCATCACCATCATTCCCAAATCATCTTCATTTTCCCACTGAAATGTTGCAAGCCACTGAACAGTAATTGCCCACAGTCTTTGGGCCAGGTTCCATCCTCTAGCCTGATGAATCTGGCTAGCCTAATGTATTTCATATGAGCAGACTTGAAATATTTGTCCTTTCATGTCTTCATTTTCACTAATATTTAAGTAAGTTTTAGCGATACTTAGTATGAGAATAAAAATGCCAATATACGTTTTTATTTATGCACACATCTACACACATATATACACACACACATATCTACACACACATACACACATACAGACATATATACACACACATATATACACACTTACACACAAACATGAACACACATACAGACACATATATACACATACACACATACATACAAATATATACATACACATATACACACACACATACACACAAGGCTAGGATTGAACACAGGGCCTTATGAATGCTGAGCAAGCACTCTACCACTGAGATGTAGCCATAGCCCCATCTAACTGTTCAATCTTTCTTTTAGTTAAGTTCATCCTACAAAGTTAAAAAAAATTCAAAATATGTATGTTGCTTTTTTTCAAAAAAATTAACTAAATCTTGATTTGAAACATGTTTACTTTCATTCACATCTATAATAATTATCATCATATAATCAGACCTGATGAGCACATGATTACTTAAAATAATAGCCACAAAGAAAGACTTCAAATAACCTTAGCATCAACCAAACAGAAGTGACTAGTTATTAGATGACTATCGTGTTAAATTATTTTGATGCCTTAGAAAAAGGAAGGAAGGAAGGAAGGCAGGCAGGCAGGCAGGTTGGCTCTATTCAATATCACTATTGCTATTGCATGGAAGTTTTGCAAATATTTACCAGGAACTACCAGCACTGACAGGCACTCTCCTGGAAACAAACATACCAGACGATATCTCTTATGGAAATCAAGCTAAGAACCAGAAAGCATGCACACAAAGGCCTCTAGAGAAACAAACTGAACGCCCAAATTTAGGTTATTACACTAAAATGCACTTAAATAACTCCTCAGATAATTACCTTTAATTTATACAAAATTTATGTTTATTATCTCAGAGTTCACAACAGTTTATAAAGCAGGAAGAAAATGTGATAGCACATAATGAGAAACATTACAGAAATACCAAAGATAACCAAAGATAAGCAGGGGCTAGAGGCACAAATTAGACGGCTTAGAGCAGCAGTGGGCAGTCTTCCATATCGCAATAAATCTCTCAGGACAGCCTTCAGTGGTGACTGACACCTTTACACCAGAACTCAGGAGGCAGAGGCAGGCAGATCTCTGTGGGTTCTAGGCCAATCTGGTCTATATGGAGAGTCCCAAAACAGCCAAGGCTACAGAGACCCCTTCAAGGCTGGGCAATTTCTTCAAGAGATAGCAATCTACATCCCAGATCATACACAAAGTGAAGACACCTTCCTTTAAAAACAAGGATGTGTAATCCGCTGTGTAAGAGAGGCCGTGCAAAAAGTGGTAACCTAACACTTGAAAGCATAATCCAGAATCATTCTGCTTTCTGAGGGCAGATCTGAAGACAGACACTAACAATCTGCTTTTCAATTCTGGATGAAGACATCTTTCACCCAGAAGGCTTGTCTTACACATAGGAGTCTATCTGGCTCAGACGCTTCTCTCACAGTATTAAGTAAGCTACAGGAACAACAAGCTCTAACAGCTTAGCTTGCAACAAGCTTTTGTTTTTAATCACTAAAACCCCCTTTGCTACTGAACAAGTGCAGTTCACTTTTAGAGAAAAGGTCAACATTAAGTATGAGAAATGCCTTATCAGTAATTTATCCTTTTAAACTTATATTTTCACTACACACACACACACACACACACACACACACACACACACACTTTAGGTTTGGTTTGGTTTTGGAGTATATGGGCTTGACATGTACGTAGCCCAGGCTAGATTTGGATATGAAATCCTTCATACCTCCCAAATGCTGGGGTTACAGGTGTGAGGCACCATGCCACTTATAAAAATACACACATTTCTTTCTGTCACAAAAAATAGGTCAGAATTTGCATGCTGCATTTAATCTGTCTCTTGTAACATCTGTCATTCTATGTAAACAATACTTGTCTGCAACTCTGATACTGTGTAGCAATTAGGTCATCTCTGTGCCTTACACCTTCACCTACAGGAGGAATAATATCTACCTCATAGGTTTATGTGAGGTTAAAATAATCTGTTAACTGCTCAATAAAATGCCCAGCAGGGACCCAAACCAATGTTGTTTGTTCTTAACGTTGCCTGAAAGATTTATTCAATTCTTATCCAATTCTTCACCTCAAAGACAGCTCTAATGCCTGCCTGAGTTCCATCTCAGAACCCAGGTTAAAATAGACAGGTATAGGGGCTGGAGAGATGCTTTTCCAGAAGACCCTGATTCAATTCCCAGGACCCACAGGGAAGCTCACAACTATCTGTAACTCCAGTTTCAGGGGAGCTTTACACAGACACACATGCAGGCAAAACACCAATGCACATGAAATAAAAATTATTAAAAATAATAAAAGACAGGTGTGCTGGCACATGCTTGTAATCCCAGTGCTCAGGAAGCAGAGACAGGTGGATCCCAGGGTTTTCTGGAGAGACGGCTCCGAGAACTTGTCACTCTTGCAAAGAGCCAACCAAGGTTCAGTTCTCAGCACCCATGATGGCTTACAACCATGCATTACTTAAGTTCCTTGAGATCCAACACCCTCTTTGGGCCTCTTGTGAACACTTGGCATGCACATGGTATACAGACACCCGCACACATAAAAGAATTAAATCCCCCCTCCTTATTCCCCAATTTTATTTATTTATTTACTTATTTATTTATTTATTTATTTATTTTTCAAGACAGGGTTTCTCTGTGTTGCTTTGCAGCCTGTCCTGGAACTCGCTCTATAGACCAGGTTGGTCTCAAACTCACAGAGATCCGCCTGCCTCTGCCTCCCGGGTGCTGGGACTAAATGCGTACTCCACCAACGCCCGGCTCAAAACTTTTAAATAGTAAAATAAATGCGTACTCCACCAACGCCCGGCTCAAAACTTTTAAATAGTAAAATAAAAAGTACAGTGCCTGAGGATTGATGCCAAGGCTGTCCTCTGGCCTCCACACGCACACATAGACATGCACCCACACAGACAGACACAGACACACACACACACACACACACACACACACACACACACACACACACACACACACACTAAAATGAAAACCATATAACTAAATCCTTTCACAACTTTAACCTTCTAGGAATAAGTTTCTGGAAAAAGAATGCTGGGTCGTTATATTTAAACACCCGAAGCGCTCCCCAATTAGCACGGACCTCCTCGGGTTCCAGGAACCCTAAAAGGCAGGAAGAAATCGGTGCTCAGAGCCCAGCCAGACTCCCGATCCGAGTCCGCTTCTCGCACGCACACGCCCCCCTCCCCTGCAAACTCGCTCCGCAGAGCAGCGACCTCCCTGGGAAGAAGCAGGGGCCGGGTGGCCGCCAGGCTCCGCGCCCGCCGCGCTCGGCGTCTGCCCCTCCGTCCGCCCTGTCCGCCATCGCCCAAGTTATGCGAAGTGACTAACTCGTGACAGCTTGGGACGCTGGAAAGCGGCCCTGGGCTGGCTCCCGCAGGCCGCCCGGCCCGGCCCGGGCCTCCGCCCTCGCTCCTCCGTCCTCGGGGGTGGACGCGGAGGACCCTGGCCGTCCCGGGCGGGCTCCGGGTGCAGCGCGCACCGGCCAGGGGTCAGACACCGCACAGGAGGGGGAGGAGGGGGAGGAGGGCGGAGAGCGGGGGAGGAGGGGGAGGAGGACGGAGAGCGGGGGAGGCGGGGGAGAAGGAGGGGGAGGAGGGGAGGACGAGGAGGGAGAGGACCGCGAGCAGGGGGAGGCCCGCACGCAGGACCCGAACCCGTCGCACCCGTCCTCGGGGCAGGGTCGGTCCCCAGCGGGGCAGCTCCGAGGTCAGACGCCCCGACGGGTCCCGCTACCCTGCCCGGGGCCGGGGTTCGGGAGTAGGCGGCCCAGGGTCCGTCCTAAACCCACCCCCGGCTCGGGATCGGGGGGCCAAGGGTGACGGGAGAGCTCCCGCCCGCCCCCGGCGCCGCCGGCGCACCTGGGCAGGAGCCGGCGCCGGCTGCAGCTGCTGCTGCTGCTCCTCGCTGATCTTCTGCTTCAGCTTCTTGAACATGGCGCGGCGAGGGCCCGGCGGCGTCTCTGCCCGCGGGGCGGCCGGGCCCGGGCCTCGCCGCCTTCCTGTGCAGCTGGCGGGCACCGCGGGGCGCTCGTCCTGCGGGGATCGGCGTCGCCGCCGCCGCGTCGCTCCTTTCTGGGTGCCCCCGGCCGGCCTCGGCCCCCATCCAGCCCCGGCAGCGGCGGCGGCGACAACGGCAGCAGGTGAGCGCGCCCAGGGCGCCTGCGCCGCCGACGTGGAGCTTGACAAGAGCTTGCTACGGGGCGCGGCGGTGGACAATGCGGAAGAGGGGGGGGCAGCGCGCGCGCGCGCACGGAGCGACTCCTGCACTGCACTGACGCTCGCAGGGATCTTGGAGCTGTGCAACCCAATGCGGGGACATCGCACCGTTGAGCACCGGAGTGAAGAAGGCTGGGGTGAAGGAGGATGGAGCTAGGGAGCCGGGCGTGTGTTAAGTGTCGGTTAGCACAATTACTGTTAGAATTCTCTCTAAGGGCTAGGCTTGCGTGCGTGCGTGCTTGCTTGCTTTGATTGATTGATTGATTGATTGATTGATTGATTGATTGATTTTAAGAGAAGATCCTGGGGCTGAGGATGTAGAGTGTTGTCTAACATATGCAGGAGAACTTGGGTTCTGTCCTCAGCACTGCATGAGCTGGATGTGATGGTGTATACCTGTAAACCTAGTATCCTTGGCTACTTAATGACTTTAAGGCCATTTTGAGCCACAATGAGACCCGACCTCAAAAGTAAACAATTTGACTGTTGTAGATTGATCTCAAATTTAGAAGCTAAAGTGATTTTTTCCTGCCTCCGGGATAGCTCAGGTCTGCAGGTCAGAATTATCAGCCCTTAGTGGTTAATTCTTGGCCTGCACTCCAGAGGAGCCATTCCCCACCACCACCCCCAGACAGTTCCATCTGCTGGAAAGACTCTTGCACAACACAAAATATTGCTGTGACCTGTGCCTCTCATGACCCATGTGAAATTTCTGGGTTCTGTGCCTGTTTGCTAACTGAATGGCATCCATTCAGTTCTAATACTTTGGACAATACATTAAGATCTGGGCATGGTGACACACACCTTTAATCCCAGCACTTGTGTAGGCCAGCCAGGGCTACACTACATAGTGAGGTCCTGACTTGGGCAGAGAGAGAGAGAGAGAGAGAGAGAGAGAGAGAGAGAGAGAGAGAGAGAGAGAGATCGCACAGGTTGAAGCCTCAGTCCCACAAGAGTGCTCCCAATGCCAATCCCAAACCCAAGTTGTTTAACTTGTGTCTGTGACCCTACTAACTATTATGGAGGCTCCTGGGGTCCCCTGCTGATACTTGATAGATTTGCTGGAACAGCACATAGAACTTGGGGGGGAAATGCTTTTCTTACATTTATCAATTCTGTACAAAGGGTATGACAAAGAATACAGACAGTTAAGGAGATTCATAGCCAGACACCTGAGTGAAGGGACCCTCTCTGAGCATATAGTACCTTGTCTTCGTTTGCTGGCAGGAATTCAAGCAGGAACTTGGAGGCATGAACTGAAGCGGAGGCCATGGGAGGAATTGCGCCCCATGGCTCAGGCAGTTTACTTCCTTGTACAACACAGGACCACCTGTCTAGGGATGGAAACACCCACAGCGGGCTTGGACCCTCCCACCACCAGTCATTGGGCAAGATAACGCCTCCGCCTCCACAGACTTGCATACAGGAAAGGTTGTGAGTGCTTACATTTAAAAGTCACAGAGAACTCGGAAACACCAAAAATGTACCTCAACGCCTTAGGAAAGGAGCGACGGATCAAACCCAAATTCAGCAGATGGAAGTAACAAGGGTGAGGACTGACCCCGATGAAATGGACAAATGGAAGAATGCAAAGAAATCAGTGAAACTAGAAGTTGGTTCTTTGAGCAGATTAAGATAACAAAGCATTAGCCAAAATAACCAAGGGGTTGATTCCAATTAATAAAATTAGAGATGAAAAAGCAAACACTGCTGGGCATTGGTGGCACATGCCTTTAATCCCAACACTCCGGAGGCAGAGCTAGTTCCAGGAAAGGCTCCAAAGCTACACAGAGAAACCGTCTCGAAAAACAAAACAAAAAAAAATTGAACATTACAGAAGACACAGTGGAATCCATTGGATCATTATGGGAAACTTTGAAGACTTCTGTTCTAAAAAGAAGTAACATTTAGAAGAAATGGATGGATTTCTAAACACATATAACCTACAAATCTTAAGGGGTTACTAACAACTTATATATGTCTAAAATTAGCTTGAGATTAGGGCAGTGTTTTAGTCAGGAATCTCTAAAGGAGTAGACTGATGGGATGCACACACACACACTAAAAGGGAATATATTAAGTTGACTGACAGAATGTGGCCTAGTTACCCCAACAATGGCTGTCCAGTTGGAGTTGATACTCAACGATTCGCCAGCCATCACAGGAAGTAATAGTCTACCAAAATAAATAAATAAATAAATAAATAAATAGTCTACCAACAAAGAAAAGCCCAGGGCTGTACAGATTCCCTGCCTAATTCTACCATACTTTTAAAGAATTAGAAATGTTATACTAATGTCCGACTAGGTAAGGACACAGAGAGGTAAAGAGAGAGGGGAGGAGGTAAGGAGAGAAAGAGAGAGAAGTATATGTCAATTTCCCTGATGAACTACGCACAAAAACCCTCAACAAGATATTTGCAGAGCAGGGGGCTGGAGGCAACAGCTAAGAGCACTTGTTGCTTTTACACAGGACCCTGGTTTGGCTCCCAGCACATGGTGATTCACAACCCTCCCCTAACACCAGTGCAGTGACTCTAACGCCCCCTTATGACCTCTGAGGACAGCAGTTATGCACGTGGGTCGCAGTCAGAAATGCAGGAAAAAGTGACATGCAAACATCTATACAATATTATTCTAAGTGGAGTGGGGTCACATTCCAGTTCTACGCAGCATGGAGGTCCACTCCATCAACTTCTGTGCTGAGGTGGGGTGGGGACAAGCTCCATCCACTGCTATGCACCATGGCACTAAGACACAGAAATAAAAAGGATTCGGGCAGGAACGGAAGGAGTCAGATTTATCCATGTTTTCGGATGATGCGATCCCGTACTTGAGACCCTAAAGACTATATCTGAACTCTTGGATTGAAGAAATACTTCTGGTCAAGTCACGGGACACAAAGTGAGCATTACAAACCGGTAGTTTTCTGTATATACTAGCGAGGTTCAAGCAAAACAAAACAAAACAGACCACCTTGGAGGATAGCTAATCAAAGAGGTGAGACGCTCCTGCAAGAACTAAAAACACTGCAGAGAGAAACTAGAAGGGACACTAGAACACGGCAAGCCCTCCCTCCCCGTGGATCAGCAGTTACTATTGTGAAAATGGTTGGTGCACACACACTCTGCAGGCAAACACACCTATGTAGCATGATAAATAAAAGACCCAGGGACAGAAACTTGGGTCTGAGTATCAAACTGAAGATCAAAAAAAAAAAAAAAAAAGGAAAGCAGCCAGGCACCAGCTCTCAGTCTGCCCCAGACTGAAAGGCGATCCTGGCTCCACCAAACCTCCGCTTGCTGCCTCTCCTCAGCATGGCTGGAGAATCCTGAGACTTCAGTGTCTTCCTATCCTCACTGTGGCTGGAGAATGAATGCCAGCTCTGAGACCTTGCTTCTGTCTTATATTCCTCCCTAGAGCTGGGATCATAAGCATGAGCTCTGTTGCTCTTCACTCTTGTGTAGGTCATGGTGGCCTTGAACTCACAGAGATCCATCTACCTCTTAATCCTGAGTCCTAGGATTAAAGGTATATACCACCACTGCCTGATCTCTGTAGCCTGAGGTTGACTTTGCTTTCTGAATCCTCAGGCAAGCTTTAATAAAACATGAATAATAGGTCACCACATGCATACCTGTAAATCTAAAAATAAGAAATTGCTTAAAATACATACACACGTAGATGTGATAAAAACCAAAATGTAAAGCCCAAGACTCAGAATGTAAACGTCTTACCCAAGGTAACACAGCTCGAGCATGATTGGGGCGGCAACTGTATGTGAGTTTTCGTGCTTGGGAGCCCTCACCACCGTTCACATCACCTCCATATTCCTGCAATTGTCCCACGGTCTCCCGCTGACACTGGTTTCTCTGAATTCCCCAACTCTGCTCCAGAATGATGGAGGGATGGACATCCCATTTTCCCCATCGGTGCAGTATTAAACGTGTGCATTCAGACAATGTCATCAGATATAAAGTGTATCCGCTGCATTTTCTTCACACCTATCAGGGGATAAATTACACACCTACATTCATATGCACATATGTTACGAGTGTGTGTGTGTGTGTGTGTTTGTGTCTATGAGTGTGAGCGTGTGTGTACGCGTGTGTGTGCATGCCGCAGGAGTGCTCACACGCGTGTGCTGGGGATGACTCAGGGCCTTGCACATGCTTGCAGAAACACAACAGACACTGAGCTATAACACTGCCCTGGAGGAGGTGGTAGAGATAGGGAGATCAAAGCTGTATTTCTGCATCATTTGAATGTTTCTCATTAGAACATTCGTGTGAACGTTTACTTTTTCATATCATAGCAAGGCTATCAGAATCACTGCTGTAAAACTTTGGGAAACCTCCCTCAGGAGCCAGGCCTCTGCATCAGAGTCTAAACTTAGATGGTGACTCCACTTGGCATTTGACCAACTTTTGGGCCTGGGGTAACTTTTCTTCAGAGAATCTTTTTTGTTTTTTTTTTTTTTTTTTTCAACTCTTCATTTTTAATTTAATTCCCATTGTAGACCAAACATGGACTAACTAGGAAATTATTACCATTATTGCCTCTATTTTATGAATAGGCACAAAGTTAAGGGAGATGGGGGTGGGGTTAGGGTCAGGCAAAAGGAGGAGCAATTGCCCAGGGGCATCTAATCACATAGAACTGGAGAGAGAGAGCCATATCTTGTTATTTATTTGGTCCCTGACTGTAACACGCTTAGGCTTAGGACTTTCTCATCCCCTTTGAGATACACGTGGAATTTTTTTTAAGCTATTCAATTTAATTACAGCCAGTTTTGTATTTAGTTATAGGGCTGTTGCACAAATTCTAATTGTTCTTAATAATAAAAACTCAAAGTCAGCTATGGGGGTAGGTGTGAAAGCTGAAAGATCAGAGAAGCAAGCGGCGAGCCACTGGAGGGTTTTACCTCTGCAAGTGCTCAGACGGAAGGGGCAATCCTGTCCT